ACACACACACACACACCTTCCATCCATTCGTTAAGAATTGCATAAAAATACACTCTGTGGAACATTTGTCCGAATCTTCCCACAATGCACTGCACTGCACAACCAACAGTTACACCAGTCGGTAAGCTGCCTCTTAGTTTCTGTTTCCCTGAGTGGATAAGAGAGGAGTGCTCTGTTAATAGACCATTAAAAGTAAATCAAGGGCTTGATTCCAAAATTATACACATTATATAAATGCATAAACATGAATAAAAAATGTGATGTTCATAGTTCAACGTACATTTATAACTTTAACGTTTTTAAAAGTGTTTTCAGGGTGTAAAAACTGCTGACATGACATCATCACTGGACACTAAAACAAACAAAATCAGGGTTTTATTTGTTAAATGGATTTAAAGAGACAACTAATTTGCCTATTGAGACACAAACCTGGTCCTGGTAAAAAATGAGAACATAATTTAATCAGTCCTTGAACCATGTTTACATGTCACGTGTCTATGACATCATTTCAGAAAGTGTTTTTACAAAGACCTCTGAGCATGAGATCACAACCGTCTTTCCTCAAAGTAGGTGCCACATTTTGGATTTGGAACGATCGGTGGCTAATGTTTTTAAGTCCTTGTTTACGTGACGATCCATCCACTTGGATCCACACACAGTAAAGTATTTTTAACACTTCAAACTAGATTTTTTTTATGAGGGTGTTAATGTCTTTACACATTAACACAAAAATGCATGTTTTTTTACAACCTAGTTAACACTCTTCAGTACACAGTAACCACCACCTTCCATCATCTGCAGTTTAACCTCAGGTCGTACATGTATGGTTTTCCCACTTGTCTGGCCATTGTTATTACTTGCAGGAAAAGATTCTTTGCGTTTGATCATTGAAAGTTTAGTTTTATTTTTCTGTGCTCGAGCATTCAGAACAGTATTTAAACAAAGTAGTCACATTTCTGACGAGGCCCCACATTGTGCGTAATTGATATTTCATCTCAGATAAAGCAGGTTATTGACAACGTTTCCAATGACACATGAGGAAATACTGGTTTATATATGAACCTGGTCTATTGTTCCATGAAATATTTTAATTTGTTTTATTTTTTTACGTAGACCAGTTTGAATATTTTGTATGAGATTAATAATTATTCTTTATGATGATGTTTTTAGTAGTTAGGTGACCACAGTGTTTAATTTTTTCTCCGACAGCACACAGCAGTGCCCACATTTGGAATTTCACCATCGTGTGTGTTTGTATTAGTGATGCATCTTGTATTTGTAGGAATACATGGCTTTTTTTTTTTGCCATCTCTGAGCTCTTTCATTATGAGAAGGATGCTCGATGAATGCATACCTCGGCTTTTGGACCTCACTGTCCTTTGTTTTATTTTAACTCAAGGCCAAATGTTACACAATCAACATATGAAGCGTTAGGCGTAAAATACAGAGGTATCCCTGAAAATATATCAACAAGGTGTTATTCTTGTATCGTTCTCTGCTTTTAGTATCTACCTCTTCTCTCTTTCACTCTGACTTGTAAAAATCACTTCTTCATGAACATGTAAGTGCTTCCATCTTTATGCCCATATTGATTTTTATAATTTTCATTTCATTGTATTGCTGTTTTTTTGTGGCTTTGATTTGTCAGGATGTTTTCTTGAAAGCCTGCAGCGATAACAGCTGATGGTGTAAAAGTGGAAGGAACCAAACCTTGTTCTTCCAACCTCACCCCTCCACTGAATCTTCACAGTTATAATCCACTCCGTTTATACAGGCTGATGAACAAACGGTCTTTTCATTGTACAGATTCTTTTATATGTAAACCGATTTGTGAAGAGGAAGGTGGTGCGGATGTGAAATATTCAAATTGATATTTTTCGACAGTTTATGTTCAGTAATGCATCAGGTACATTTATGTCTTTTTCGTTAATGATGTTGATGGGTTTTACAATTAAACATTTTATTATCACTTTGTGGTCTCTGTTTGTAGTATTTATAGCGGTCAATTCTCAGAGTAACCGTACTGTCAGAGCAAGAGGAGCCTCAGTCCTGGCTCTATGCATGGGATTATTATATCACTGATGAGAAAGAAATATTAAGGAGATGTCAAGAGAGTGCAGATTTCTTAGTAGGACCTAAAGACAACATACAGGACCTGATAAGGAGGCTTAACCAATTCTGGATCGGAGAGGACTTGTCAATACACACTATAAATCCCCTTAATTATATAACTATTGATCACACTCAGTATCTCCTCTAGAGCAACACCAGTGCACATCATCTACCTTTTTCTAACACAGCATTGACTACATAGTGCATGGAGATCATAAAAAGGCCCTTGTCATTTCTTACATATTCAACAATGTATATTTTTATATTTAAACCACTACTAGAGAACATTAAATATGTGATGTAAGAAACTTGGAACATATTTTTAAATGCATGTATAAGATGACCTCAGTCACCTGTCAGTCAGTTAGATGGCAAGGAGTCAGGTGGATGTAAAAACAAACAGCTTATTAGTTAATGAACTGTTGTATTACTTTACAACACAACTTTAAAGTTGTATTATTTTGCAATAATTTCCAGGTAATTGAATTAGTTTCAATTCAATTCAAAACAACTTTATCTGGAGGGCAATTCTAAGGCACACGGAGCATGTCACGGCAAGTAAAAACAAGAAACGATGACATCAGTTAGAAATCAGTGCAAAATATATGTAAAGGACCAGATAGCAGCAGATGAATAAATATTGTAGGGGAAACATTTAAGCTTATTTTTCTGTATGTAATTTACTGATTTCTTCACACACCCCACAGTTGACGAGGGCGCCCCTATAAGTTGGTGGGCATGGCGCATGGTTGGGAAGAGAAAGCGGGTTACAGCAGACACCATCTATGACGAATTGTAGTGGCAAAAACCCCTGAAGGGTTTTCCCTTTAACCCCTATTTCATTTCCAATTGTTTTTGCCACATGGAGTTCAGGTGCAGTGTGTCAGACTCGCAGCCTTGTTTCCAAAGAGAGATCCAGAGAGACTGCATTGTTCACTGTAGCTTAGATGCAACATAAATATAATAGGAAAATAAGATGCAGTTGCTTCAGTTTTTCATTGTAGCATTGCAGATGCAATTCACCAGCTGATGCTTTCACCAGGCTGAGGCTGAGGTCAAAGACGGTATCTGTAAATACGCTAGTAATTGAATTACGTTGCAGTTGTATCATCTTCATTTTACAATTATTGTAAGATGTACAACAGCATGTTTCTCGTGTTTGCAATTCAGGGGAGAGTAATGAGTGTAGATACTACACATGACAAAACAGTAAGCTCTGGTGGGCCTCATTTTACTAAACTACTACTTTTCTGAAGGCCCAGCCCTTCGATATAAAGAAGCCACAGAAATCACGACACCCCGTTAAAACCTTTTTTATGGCCGATATTTTCTTTCAGTGGCAAAAGCAAAGGTGTGAGAACATTAACAGTGACTTGGTTCTGTTCAAAGTAAGTCATGGTAGTGATTCAGAATTCACATTATAATGGACACTGGCCCCAAGTGTAACAATTGTAATTCATTTCCCCAAGAGGCAATGCACGAGGGAGAGCAAACAATGCACAGACAATTCATTCAAGAACATAAGATACTAAATACTGGCTGTGGCAGTCGACCATGCCACGGGGCTCTCCCACACACAGACAGAGATGTACGTGTTGCTTTTAAGCATCTTTTATAAATCAACCAGTAAACATAAATCAAACTCAACATGAACTCCAGTGTGTCTCTGTCCGGCATGTGTCTTTTGGAGTCAGCTCAGCCGCTGCCTTTTAAACCTGAGGATCAATCAGCTAACAGCTCTCACCTGCCCTGATTGATCCTCTGTGGTGCAGGTGAAGGTCAAAAAGTTTTCTTTAAAAAAGTTCAAACTAGCTTTAAGAGACATAAAGGTAACAGGAAGGTGTTTTACACCACTACCCACACTGTGGTGATGTTCTCTATGTAATATACAAACTGAAGAGAAAGGGAAAAAACAGCTAAATTAGCTGAGAGAAGCACCAGCATATTCTTCCTTTGATATCAAAGACACTAGTAGAGCTCCACACTATTCTGTGCTAATAATATCTGAATTAACTGATAACTGATGGGGAATTCAAATCAATTTATACCACAAGTTTTGAAAAAGATGACCTAAATTACAGGATATTTACCAGGAGTTACAGTACATGTGAGATTACATAATATACAGTTTGAGTCTTGAAATATAATCTGCATTATATATATTAAGTTCATATTTAAAGAAGTATTTTGGTAGTCTCAAGCAAAACATGGCAGCATAGTTAGGTGCTGTACAATTTAGGTAAGAATATTTTTACTTAATGTATTTGAAAGGATATATTAATTAGTGGTGTAATAAAATTCAATTATTTCCATTGTATGTATAAACAGTATTATATAAAACACTGATCAATTCCAATGTTTTGTTTGCTGTAGTGGATTCTCAGTTTCATGGAAAGTAAACTGGACATATAACCGACAGAGAAACAGTGAGACATTAACAATTTGACAGTCTTTATTCATCTATTAATAATCACTTTTTACAAAATTCACATGGGTGTTTGCTTTCTCCTCCAATCACTCCATTTTATTCACCAATATGTTACACAATGAGTCTCAACCTCAACAAAACACACAAGTCACATTATTTTTCAAGCATGGGTCATGTGCAAGTCATTGTAACAAGATCAAAAGCACTGCTCATCTGCTGCTCAGAATCCTCCAAGTCCCGCAGGAAACTCAGTGAAATTAAGTTACTCACTTTAATTATATTTTAAGAAAACTCTCATTTGACCTCTGGGGGAAAATTGAAGAGAGTTTTCGATCAGCTCAGTCCAGTCACAGAAAAGAAGACATGGTGTGATCCGATTTTTGTGTAGTTGAATCCAGGTCAACAACACAGATGCTAAATGACTACATTTTAAAAATCATGGTGACAATTGCAAGAGTGTTGTCATATTAAAATAAAGGGAATTAGGCTGTGGAATTACATTTCGTTCCAAACAGCTTGGGATCATTTAGACTTCTGTGCCATCAGGATGAAAAGTTGACTGGTTCCATTTGTGAAACATTATTTTCTCTGCCACATTCAGCATCTATACATGCACACGTTTCAAGTCACACCACCAAGCTCAAGCTGTTTCTAGTTCATGTGGCAACATTCTCCCACACACAGACATACAGATTAGGCATATTGCTTTCACCACCACCCCACAAGAGGATGACCTCGATGAGAATGTATCTGGATGACAATGGAGCAGAGAGCGGTGAAAACAAAATGAAAGAAGGCAGAATAAAGAGAAAAAAGGATGAAAAAAAACAGTTGAAGTAGACAAACAACAAAACAGGCGGATGAAGGCTGATGTTTCCTGTCTGTTAACACTATTCATTAAATATGTTAAATATGCAAGAGTGGTAAACTGCAACCTGCCCACCAGCCACACCACTGAATTTGATTTGAACCACAAATGCATCATCTCACAGCTCGAGTAGAAACCTGCTGAGGATCAAATGGCGTCTTCAGGTGAGGGTCTGTGCTCTTCTGGTGACTGGCTGTGTGGTGGCGAGGGGAGGGACTGCTGAGGAGCAGGAGGACCCATGGAGGGAGGGTGGAGGCCGTCGGGTGGAAGGGTCCGCATGGGGGGAGCAAAGTGAGGATGAGGAGCTGGAGGATGAGGAGGTCCACCAGGAGGGAAACGAGGAGGGAACATCATCCCCTGAGGTGGAGGTGCCCACCCTGGAGGCAAATCAGAGTGATGAGTCAAGTTTACACCGATAACATCTGGAGATAAGATGGAGCACGAAGTGAGGATAGCTTACTAGGCATCATCGGAGGGCCCCCGGGTCCCCTGGGAGGATAGAAATCAGGAGGTGGGGGTCCATAGGGAGCTCTGCGAGGAAAGGGACCATCCATGGGGCCCATTGGGGCTCCAGGTGGGAGAGGGCCCCCCATCCTTGGGTCTGCTTCAGGGGGTGTCCTTCGATCACCAGGACCAGACTGATGATGATGACACAGATTCAAACAGGTAAATGTTACAGAGGCTGCAGTAGACTGGTAACACATCAAATCCCATCCTTACTCATTCTAAGGAGGGAAAGGATACAGTTTGTTTTTCATTTTAGCACAGTCCCACTTGATGAACAGCAAACATTAGATTCAATAGCATCACAACAGATGCACAATAATGGACATTGAGAAATGAACTAAGCAATTTGGTCCTAGGGATAAACAACATTTCTGGAAATAGTAAGAAACTATGTCACAGTGAATCAGTCAACTACATCATCCATTATTTGAACGAGCCATTCACAAAGTTGCAAATAGTTGATTAGCAATGATTCAGCTAATGTTTTTGTTTTAGGGTTGAAATGGGAAAATAATCTGAACAAGGGAATGATGAAAGATAGTTCCCTATATTGTCCATAGGAATGTACACTAGTTGAACCATTCTATTAAAAATATCCAAGTTCTGACAGAATGGTTAAATACACAAAATTATTTTTACTCCTTATTCATGTTTATTGTGCGACAGTTCTCAAAAATCATTGTTAAAAAAAGCATATGATTTCATATTAATGGGAGGTTGGATGATGGAATGTGATCATGGGATGTTCTTTGGTCCTACATACAAAAGCACAAAGTGCATCTTAAGATTACAGTCAAAGCTAAGACACTACAGCAAATTACCTTTTTTTTCATTTCATTATCAATTATGACTGGGTTTCTCACATTTGTATCTGCTACTACATCTTATTTTTTGTCTAGAAAGATCTACAATTTGCTTAAAGTATATTAGAGAAAAAAGAATAAATAATAATTTAAAAAACAGGACAGTTACACTTGCACTCCTTAAACCTACAGTATATTTCTCACACTCGGTGTATGTCTTTTACCTCTCTGTGTTCTTGTTCACCAGGTCCAAGGCTGTTTTCTCTATACAAGCCATCTGCATTGATAAACACATTCAGTAGTAGTTCAGACTCTGCATCTGCATACATGTACAGATTTTCCCAAGCTTCCATTCAGCTTTTACATTTCAACTTGTCCAAATGTAACACATGGGAACACAATTAAGTCATTATAATCCACTGTACAGATTCCAGTGACTCACCTGACATGTCTGTGGGGCGTGGAGGTCCTGGTGGACCAGCAACAGGGAACCCCCTAAGATGGGGAGGCCCAGGAGGAGGCAAATGGCCCAGAGCTCCTGGAGGTGGTGGAGGTCTCCTGAACATGGGACCTCCAGGTTCTGGAAACATATAGCCTGAGAGAGATGCATAGAAACATGAAGAATTGCAAGGATCAATGTTATATGTCCGTTTCTTGTAAATAAATTAAACTCAAGTTAAAAATGTTCATTGATATTTGTTTAGGTTATTCCATTTAATAATAACTGGAAAGTGACATTGTGCACACTGGGAGTGAAGTGTGAGTTTCTTTGTTTGGATGTGTGAGAGTTGGTTTTACCTTTACATGTAAACATGACAGTAACTTTTTCAAATTGTGTTTTCAGGTGGATATGATAATGATATGATAATCTGTAGCTTCCAAACTAAAAACTCAAAATGCACTAAACATAGTCCACATGCACTGTTAACATGCATTCAGCAGCCACATGCTCATCATATGACTTTGAATGGTGGATCGCTGAATGTAGGTGCAACTAATAACCTTAGTAATAGCTGTTATTAGTTACACCTGCTCATGGTCTCAGCTTGCAGACACCATGCCTTTAGAACATATGCAACATATTGGGCCTCAATATAATCACAGACCAAAAAATGCATTTATACACATGTAAATAATGTTATCAACAGTTTATGACACAGCAGAAACTCCCCCTGAAAGGAAAACATAAATAAATGAATATCAAAATTCTAACGTTTATATACATCAAGATAATAGAGCCATTGTATTTTCATCTCTAAAGTCATGACTGTGCATTTTTGATTAAGCTCACTCTGAACTTTCCCCCAACAGAGGAACATGGTAAAACTAAGAAATATATTGAAAAATAACATACACAACATGACTAAGTAGCTTTTTTGAGATTGATATGATACACAGGGAAAAATACTGATATGAGTTTTGGATCAAACTGACAATTAATTCACATGAGGTTCAGGGCTGCTTGGGCTTTGTAGACATTTGTAGAAATCTTTAATTCCCTGTCTTTCTATTTCTTACATATACACACACCTTGAGGTCCTAGGGGCCCAGGGGGCCCGGAGGGTCCTGGCGGAGGTCCCCTGCGATCTCTGTCCCATGTAGGAGAGATTGAGCCACTGTCTGAGTGAGGCCCTCCACTCCGCTCCATGTCCCCATGGCTGCCTGGGGGCTCCATGAGACTACGGCCACCTGCAGATGGAAGAACCAGAGGGAAAAAAGACAGAAGGAAAGGACAGGTGGAGGAGGGAAAATTTGATATTGATGACAGAAAGAGAGAGGGGGAAGATGTAAGAGGGGGTAAAGAGGGAAAAAAAGTAGAACCAAAACCAAATACATCATATCAGAGAGAGATGATTTGGCCAGAATAAATGAGAGCAAGAGAAAAGAAAAGAAAGTATGAGAACATTATGTTAATTAAAATGAAATTAGAAGTTTGAACACATATCACTGTCATATACATCCTGAACGTTTCACAATGGACTCTGAAAAGTGCACAAACAACATGCCAGCATACACACCATGCTACTGAAGACATTTCAGCATCTTCACTAGATCATGCTGTAGCCAGCTGTTATCTTTGACATGCTTCATGTGATTTGATTTGAATTTCTTTATTCTTTTTGGACTGAATTGGCAAATGGTGGAAAATTATGAAACCAATATTTAAGCCTACAGTGACTGTTTATGCGGACTGTTTTGTGCACAGCTGTAGCCTAGTTGTAGGTATATTTTATTTCTGTGTGTGCATATGTGTATACCTCTAGGTGACAATCGAGCAGGCCCATCCATTAATGTAGGAGGAGAAAGAAAAGCTCTCGTTTCAGATGCTGGTCGACCCAGAGGAGAAGGACCATATGGTGACCTCTCAGCTGGAGGGGAAAGAGTAGTGAAAAGTCAAGGAGTGATGTAAGATGGTGTGTGTGTGTGTGTGTGTGTGTGTGTGTGTGTGTGTGTGTGCGCATGCTCACCTCTGAAAGGCATTGGTCTAGCCAGACTGTCCAAAGCATATGGATCTTTGTCAAGGGCGTCTAATTTAAACTGTGTGTCTGTCAGCCTGTAAACAAACGCACCTTGAGTCAATATATGGCATGACATTAGTAGGACACTGACTCCCTTAATGTATAAAGTATATGACTACATTAAAGAGAATTATTCTGCAGCTGAGCCACAACATTAATAAGTTATTAAGTTTGCTTACTTCTGCCTCATGAGGGCATTTTCTCTCCTGATGTCTGTTAGGTCTCTGTCCGCTGCTCGAGCTGCAAGCTAGAAGATCAAGTCAAAATAAATACCTTTACATGACATATGTGCATAGATACATGGGCTTAAATATACAGTGAACTTCAGCAGGCAGTTTGATTATATATACAATTATAGATGGAGAGATGGACAGTAATGAAAAAATGATGTCCCCAGGTACAACATTGGAGAACTCCAGAGAATGTCTGCACAATTGGGTCCAGACATTCTCTGGAGTTTGTCTTTTATACATTTACAACACAGCAGGAGATTCTCCACTCAGACGTGTTCACAATAACATGGGTATCTCCGGAGTGTTCAGGGGAGGGGAGGTGTAGCAGGCCGAGGCAGGATAGGATCTATTAATTCCACTGTCACATGTTTTTGTATACAGCACATCGACATGTCTTCTACATGTACGGCACCTCTTTTTCAACCTGAGATATTTGTGTTCTTTTATTCATTTTCACATCTGTCACATGTTAGAAATGTCATCAACACACCCAATCAATCTCCTGCTATTTTCTCATATTGGCTCATTTGGACATTATCTCGAGTTTTTACAAGGGGGCCGCGAGAGAAACTCTAGGCTTGCACTCATTTTCTCTCATTTGCATTTTCACATGAAGCCCCTCTGAAGAATGTCTGGTGATTATAAAGAGTTCACTGCATGTCTGAAAACAACTGGTGTGCTGTAGTGACAGAGAGGAAATTGCACCAATAATGACTGACATGACTGATGTGATGATACGATCCCTGAATGTTTGTTCCACATTTGTAAAACGGTTTTTGTCGAAGTTTTACTTACCCAGTTATTGTGAGCCTTCTTCTCATGTGCTGATATCTGGGTCTGGTAAGACTGTTTGGACTTCTCCAGCTCTTCCTCCATCTCTTCTGCTCGTTGTCTGAAGAAACACAATGATGCAGAAGGAAGTGAGACTGTATGTGTGAAGGAGAGCCTCACACATGACTTGAAGATATTAGATACTGATAATGTGTTTGGACATGATCAAATGGCAGAGGCAGCTACCTGTAGTTGTTGAGTTCTTCCATGGCCAATGCAATGTTTTTGTCAGCTTTATTTAACTTCTCTTCTTTTTGCAGGCGCTCCTTCTCCTCTACTGTCAGAAGTCTGCAAACACAATCAGTTAAGTTTAAAATCAGTTAAGAAATACCTTTAGAAGGGTCTTTATCTGTGCCTATATACCTGTGCAGCTTCAGCTCATTCTCCTGGTACATCTCTGTCATAATCTGGAGTTTTTGTTGTAATCGTTGGACCTGAAAGCATAAGTACAAAGAATTAATTTAAATGCAAATTAATGTAGGACACCATTTGATACAATATCACACATATGAAGTCAGCTACCTGATCCGAGTAGTGTTCTGCATCAGAGTGCAGAGATAATTTCTCACTCTCCAGCTCTTTAATGCTCACTACAGGGAAAAACAAATACACACAAGTGGCAGTGATTAACAAAGAGACCACATGTTATGATAATTAGTCTTTACACTCATATAACTGTTTTATGACGCAGAATGGTTGTTTAGGTGTAGGAAATCATACATCTTATTGTGGCCACAATATCAGCTCACCTTGACAGGATTAATAAGACAGACATCAGTGTTATGTTGACTCACCTTGAAGGTCTTCTTTAGCTTTTACTTCATCGTTCAGTTTGGCAAATACTCTGTCCTTGTCTTCATCTACTGATTTGAGGTCGGCGTTAAGCTGCACACAATTTAAAGCCCAAAATGTTAGCAGCTGTATAGTAAATTCAACTGTTTAATGTCAGTGTGTCTGGCTTGCTTCCCAACATTTTAAAATACTGTCCTGTATTAGCCATTCTTATCAACTAGCACAAGATCTAATGCACTACGATCATTTCATGTACGTACCTTAGCAGCATAAATGAGCTTCTGGACTTTCTGGAGATGACCTTGTGTGTCCGTTATGCCCCCTCTTCCATTCTCCTTTTCTTTTCCTGGTGCACCATTGGGCGTCTCCTTCTCTGCTCCTTCCTCTTCCTCCAGATCCGAATCCCAAGCCTTCATCCTCAGCAGGCAGTCTGTCAGCGACTGGCAGGACAAAAACATTTGATCTCAACCAACCAAGTCCTTTCTCCAAGGTTAGCATCTTTTACATCAGTTTATTGTCTTCTTCTGTTGTAGGTCTTGAGTTATGTCCACTATATGAAAGGAAATTAATTCAAGGGCAATATTTACTGACTAGCTAAAGCTGCTCTCAGACATGCACTGAACTCCAAAACAGGGACACACACATAGAAGACACAGATGAAGATGTCTAGAGAGTTTGTGGTGATAAGAGCTGACACTGGTGTCTGTGTGTTTTCTAGAAAATCACATGATCTCTGCAGTGGAGTTAATACATCACTTCCTGCCTATGTCTGCTGCATGCAGCTGCTCTCACCTGAATAATGCAGAGAATTTGTAGCTGTTGTGAACATGTTGTGAAAGCCTCCTGCTGTGTTGTGCATTTGTGAAAGACAAACTAGGGAAACTCCGTTGCCAATTCTCCTACCTAACTAACAGTATATGATAAGTAATGCTAGAACCATCCATACCGTTATACGCTCATCCTTATTGGCCACATCCTGCTGCATCCCGCTGTATGTGACCTCACACCTCTGCATCTCTGCTTCCAACTCACTGACTCTTTCTGCCCATCCCTCCACCTGCTGCCTCAGCTGCAGAGAGAACGAGATGAAGATGGGTGGAGATGAAATGATGGTGCAAGAAATAAGGGGGATCAAAAGGGAAAGATGAAGATCCAAATATGTCAGGAATATAGACTTGGAAAGATATCAGCTAAATTAATAATTAAGATACCCAGCTAAATTAATACACAATTAAACCTTTGATTTCAAACATTCAAAACCTTACTCTATTCCATACATGGTTATATTTCGTATGTGTGTGTGTACCGGCATCCTACCTGAGCATTGCTCTCTTGTAGCTGTATGTTCTCCTCTCCAGCTGTTTCCAGGTTCCTTTGTAATCTGTCACTGTTCATACTGTAAATTTTCAGAGTAGTTTGTGCCTAAAACAGACAAACAGTCAGACAGCTGTCAAACAGAAAAAAGAAGAAGCAGCAGATGGGAAACAACAGGAAGCAAAGGTGCAGTGAGGACAGGCAAGGGCAGAACAGAAAATAGAATTCATGATGAATGCACCTGTTCTTCCTGTGACTGGAGGTCTTTGGATTCTTCTTCAAATGTTTCCATGCTCTCCTCAAGCACTGCCATCTGCAGAGATCAAATAATAATAAATCATCAACTCATTATGCAATAAACTATCAGTTACCATACTTTATTTGAATTATACATTTTGTGCTCCTACCTTTCTTTCTTGTTCTTTCCTATGTTGTTTCTGCTGGTCTAGCTGATCCTTCAGCTGTTCAAGATCCCTCTCAAGCTCCTTTTTAGTATGTTCCACCTGTCTGGCTTTCATCTGGTTGTGTTCAAAAACAAATGTGTTCAGAAAACACATTCAAACAGTGAAGCAGGTTCAAGTTTTGAGATTGACCCTCTGTGTTGTGATGTGGCTTCAAAATGGCACTATCAGCAAAAATACATGCACAATAATATCTATTTAAATACATGTGTAGTTGTGTTGGGAGGCTCGTTTAAAATGTTCAAAGGATTGAAAAGACGGCAGATTTTAGTCACTTTTAGGGATAGGTATTAGCAGCTGTATAGTCACAAACACAAGTAAAGTGGCCGATGAAGTAGCACAGCACCTACAAACAATTTGGACAACCCTCCAAAACAAACTCAAACTTTCCGTATGCATGTATCCTGTTTGCTTACAGCTCTGTTTGTAAGGTGTGTATCCGTACACAATGCAAGCCATGAATTAGACATTGTGTTATATCTATTATATGCCAGATAAAATTGTGTCAGCCCTCCAGTTCAGATAATGCAAGTTGAAATTCCATTGACGGCATTTAATGGTTTGTTTACACTGTGCACAGACTCCCAGCTAAATTTTGTTAAAAAGGGATTTGAAAAAAAAAGTTTCCTACTGTAACATTTAAGTTTTCTATTGATTTTTTATTTCCCTTTGCCTTACCTCCAGATGTTCTGTCTTTTGAGTTTGGGCCAACACACCACTGTCCCTGAGTGAGTCCTCCAGTTCATCATACTACAAAAGGCACATAATTAAGAAACGTATCAAATTAAATATTGACAAGACTTATGATTCACCACAACAGAATGCAAATCTCTTCAGGATTTGACTTAAAGTGCATAAGCTGTTTTGGTAGTGAGAAAGTTTCTGTCCTCACATCATACATAACAACATAAATTAGACACTTCTTCCTCAGATAGTTTAACGCCATGGAAATCAAAATCCAGATTGATCAGGCCACTTTTGAAAAGATCCATTGCCATGTGTAAGTCAGGTACCAACCTCTTGTTGACATTTACTAAGAGTCTCAAGGACTTTACACTTCTCATCCAGCAGCTCTGCAACCTGTGCTGCCATCCTCTTCTCTTTACCTGAAAATGAGGGAATACAAAACTCATAAAATTACAATGATGTTTCAGGTATTTTCTCTTATTTCTGATTCACGAGTTAATGTAATGTGATTGCAAAGAGGCAAAATCAGCAGTTAAGAGTGATGTATTAGTTTTATTTCTGTTAATTTAAGTCATAAGAATGTTATATCAAGTAATAAGTAATGTAACTTACTTCGATACATTCTGCTTTTGACCTGTGGAAAGAAGAAAGAAGTAAATAATGAAAAGTGGACAAGCACAGGTGTGAATGCACTCAGTTTGCATATAGATCCAATCACACCAGACTACCTCTGGAGGTCTGGGACACGCTGACCACTACAAAACAAATGTAAACATCTGAACTCTTTGAGATGAGGATGTGTACATAAATGGCTGTATACTCACCGAGCTATAACATCTACAGGTGAACAGCAGCATTGTCACCAGTCCCACCAAACTGGAGATGATGACCGGTTCCCACGGTACACCATACAGGTCTGGCCCGGGTCTGATGTCATCAGGCAGTGACGACACAACCTTTACGGAGAGGAAATTGTAGATTATTTTAGAAGCTACTTTCAATCAACATCTTCAAGTTATAACAAGCTAAAACAAATTCTAAATGCATCAATGATGTGCATACCTCCTCAACATGCTTGCACATTATATTAAGCATTATATTGATGTAAGTTAAACCTTTTTTTTATTGCGTTTTAGACCATTATATTGCAATAATTATTGACATTGTTTATTGCCAAGCCCTATGCGATGCTTCTTTATATGGAAACAAAATCTGATTCAATTAGTCCACTCCCTTCAACTAAGTGGAGTGTAAACAAAGCTAAACTGACTGTGGACATGAGGATCCGCTTTGCCATCAGCATTTGTAAACAATATTTCCACTAAGTACATGTGAAAAAAGCACTACACTATCATCACAACAGGTTTGATGCCGTATGTTTCCACATGTCAGTTTCAACACATTAACAGCTGTTGCTTCATTAGGGACGGGACGTGCCTCTTCGTTTTTTTTTATTAGGACCAAAGCAATTATCTCATTTGATCTACCAGGGGTCGTTATGTCCTTGCTGTTGACTGTCAACAGGAGACAAATACAGCCCGTGCACTTTACTACACAGCTGCTTTAAGGGCAGAGCAGCAGATAAATGCCGGTGTTGTGTTTCTCTGCAACAGGGAAGATAAAAAAAAACAGCTTAAACGTTTTAACACAAAGATTTAGGAACAACAGAAACGCTTCTACCACTTAGCTAGTGAACTATATAACCAGCTGACTCTGAACTACCGGCGACACATTTGAAAAAAACAATGTGGAACAGTACTGACAGCTGGTTAGCAGCCATGCTAGGACGCTAACTCCAAAAATGGAGTGTAGAGAAATAAAAAAGACGTAGCAACTAAACCATTAAGCTGTTCTCCTACGTGAGAGTCCGCTGCGTTGATTCAGCTGGGAATGCTAGTTGTGAAATGCTAACGAAACCTGCCACATAACGTACATCCTTCACTTTCTCCACGGCGATAGTGTAGTAAGCCTCGGCCGTCGTACGGAAGTCGACCGCTTCGCCGGAGAACTGCTCGCTTGCCGGGTGTTCCGCCATGTCCCGCTTTATTTCATTAGGCCGGTTAGTTTAGTTAAAAGTCTTATTTACTCCGACATCAGGGCGAGGAAGCACGGCCGTCATCACCCGGGCTAGCGGCTGTATCACATCCTATTCACAACACCGACGATCTGGACGCGACCATGTTCAGCTGTGCGTGGCAGGGGGGGGGTTCATTTCTCTACAAAGTCTACCTAACGAATTTAACAGGTTAAAATTAGTACTAATAATAATTTCTCAATATCTGAAGTAAAAACGAAAACTAACGTTGCACATAAACGTTGTTATGTGCACTCTCTAGGTTTAGGTAAATGGCTTTGCACCCCCGCTGGTGCAAATGGTTCATTCGCAACGTCACCAATTGTAAAATGCCACACTGGCATGTCGGACCGATTTCAAAGTGACACCAAGGGGAAACAGGTGTCATCAAAATAACCACTGTTTACAAAAAACTACAATATTCTCAATGTTCAGTTCCGGTCGTTTCCGGTTATATAATGTGATTAAACCGAATTTGACTCATAATTATGTCTTTACACGGGATTCTCTCGAAAAGGTCATTAACACATGTCGCCTGCTCCGAGTGATCGCCACAAGCTACGAGCCGCGTAAGCAGGACACAGGTGAGGACGCGACACGAGACGTTCCCCCGTCTTTACATTAGTACTCACCGGACCGCCTTCATTTCCCTCCATTTCAAACTAGAGGATCCCTGTCAAATATGTGTGAAAGTATCTGCGATCGCAGCACGTTGGTAGCCAGCTGGCTCAACGCGAGTAATGAACAACCAGCAGCACTGACACCAGTGACCGGGCCAGCTTGACAGCTGAGACTCAGGCAAAGCACCTGAGAGGCGGAGGGACACATGTCACGAGTTCAGGATGTTGGAGAAGCAGAACTCACTCCGATGAGATGACTGAACTGAGAGACTCAGTTGTTGAGCCTGCTCTATGAACATATTCAAAAAGTTCAGATTGAAAACCATGAGACTCGTGAATTGTGCTGTTGGCAAATACTCCGTCATTCCTTATGCTGAATTTTAAAGCAACACTATATCATGTGTACAGCGCCCTCTGTAGCCATATGAGGTAATTCATTCTAGCTCAGTGTCCCAGAGCTTTAAAGGGATAGTTCACCGAAAAATGAAAATTCCCTCATTATCTACTCACCGCTATGCCGATGGAGGGGTGGGTAAAATGTTTGAGTCCGCAAAACACTTCAGGAGTCTCAGGGGTAAACAGTGTTGCAGCCGAGTTGGCCTCTTCTTCAGACGTAATAAAACAACAGAAAAAACATAACATGCCTCCATACTGCTCGTGTGGTGTCATCCACACGAGCAGTATCCGCAAGCACTGACATTTAGAATTGACTCGAAATGAGGTTATTGCACGTCTGAAGGAGACCCTAAAGTGTTTTGTGGACTCAAACACTTTACTCACCACTCCATCTGCATAGTGGTGAGTGGATAATGAGTGAATTTTCATTTTTCGGTTAACTATCCCTTTAAGGCTGATTCATGCTTGTGCGTCGAAGGTATGCACGGGGCTGAGCATTCGTAGTTCTACGTAGGTGTGTGTGAGTCACACTCTCACTTCACTGCAGTTACACCGCTGAAGCGCTAGTTGCGGTAGAGTTTCTATGCTGGTGTAGATTTTCTTCCAGTTTCTGCTCCGCTTATTTACAAATTCTCTGGCGTCTTTGTTTACTTCAGAACAATGACGAGTGTTACTAAGCTGTTCGTGTGATCTTGAAGAGCAATTACTTTTTCTTAATGAACTGCAACGCAGAAAAGAAAGATGTCATCCGTGTTCGTTCACTAGATCTGGGTATTTATTTGGATCTGCACCAAATTAGACATATCTCAAAATATCTGTCCCCTTAAAGGTACAGTGTGTAGAATTGATTGATATCTAGTGCATGAAAACATGTTGCAGCTGAACACCCTTCACCTCACCCCTCCCCCTTCCAAACACAGACAAAAACATAACTTCCTTGGCAGAGATAAAAATCTGTTGCTGCTGAGCTCTGACTGCATAATGAAACAACTGAACAGTAGATACTACCCATGATCAGAATCTGTAACAAATACACCAAACTGGGTTTGGAATTCTTGATATTTTAGGTTTTCTTTGCTAAACACTCAGTTCCACACTTCTCTCAGGAGATAGTACTATTATTTGATTGATTATCCTATCACTCCTTTGAAATATCTGTGCACTGTGTATTATGCTAGTGCACAGTGATGATCATGTAGAACTAAGAAAAGTAAGCACTGTATTGTCAGGATTGGCAACTGAACTTGCTTGAGTTTCTTGAATTTCTTTCTCAAGTTTCAAGAAACTCAAGCAAGTTCAGTTGCATATGTACAACTGTTTTCTGCTATTCCAGTATTTCAATAAAGGATCGTCGATCACTGCATTTCAGTTTGCTGTTATTGGTTTATGATAAATTATACAGTTGGCTTCAATTAAGTGGAAATGTATATTTGGCTTCCATAGACTGATAGCTGCTGACAACACCTACCTGTGCGGTCCATGTGAGACTCTCCCTCACTGCATGAACATGAGCAGCTGATTCTTCACCGATCTGATGAACAAAGTCCAGAATTTGCTCCATTACTCCTGGAGTGACAAAGAAAGATTGAGGTTTAGAATTCAAGCCTTTCCACACTGTCAAAAAGACGCTGGTGATATAAAGTTATTAAAATTTGACCAAATGATTTGTTTGATAATTGAAACCAGTGGGAAATATTGTAAATAAATGTTCTAGCTGTGCCACAACACTCCAGGTTGTGTCGTTGAATGATGGGGAAGCAGCCAGTCACGTGACTCTCCTTGTGTGTGATTGTTGCTTATGATTTTTGAATCATTGTTTAACCCATCTTGATAAGGGGTTATTGAGTTGTCCATACCTTCCTGTGACTGCAGTGAACCTGACTGATTCTGAGGACACTCTTCCCCACATCCAGCATTATTCTCTCCTCTTTTCTCATCCCTTTCTTTTCCATCATTCCCCACATCCGCCATGTCATCACTCTGGATGTTGTTATCCACGGCTACAGAAGTATCCTCTGTCTTCTTCGAGGCGTCCACAGGGCTCCTTTCTTGATCTTTGCTGTGAGTTGGACAAGATGCACCAACACAGTTGGCCTTGGCTGTTTTTGGAAACACATGCATTCTGATTGAAACAAACGCAAGTCAAAACCCATCTGAAATCAAACGTGTTAATCAGCTTAAAATATTGACGATTGTTTACCGTGATATAGACAAATATACCTTCGTTAGTGTCTGATTTTCCTGTGCTGGAAGTCTGTCTCACTCTTAAGATCAGCATCTCTAGTTTCTGAAGAGCGATGAGAGTCTTAGTCTTTTCCTTGTCCTCCTGTGGAGCATCTGCAAGTTTCATGCTAGGAGACATCAGGGTGTCCCTGTGATGATGCAGAAGTCTTTCTATATCTGACAATATAGACTCATCACTGTCAGGCTCTGCAGGCACGGTTTCGGAGCTTCCCAACATGTAGTCTAAAAACTGGAGCTTGTGTCGCCCAAAGAGCTCCATCAAAACAGTCACCTCCTCCACCGTCATATAGGCTGGGAGGTTTGTGTAGTGCTTGGAGAGGGAATGTGTGTGCAGAGACGGAGCATGGGGATGAGAATGAGACGGAGGTGGTGTCTGGATGTCGGCAGAGGAAGGACGAGGCTGTGGCGGCTCTGTGGCCATGGTGACTGGAAGATCCTGTGTATAAACCTGATTCGAATCAGTGTTTGAGTTGACTTCCTGTTCAGAGATCTGAGAGGCCTGTGGCTGAGATGTCTCACCTGTGTTTGTCTCCAAACCAGAATCAACGCCGTCCTTTGTTTCAGTGTCATGTGTTTGGCTGAAAAAGCTAAAGGCGTTTTTAAAAAGACCAAAAGCTGCTCCACTTCCAGTCTCTGCTGCTCTCGTGTTGAGTAGCGAGGACCCAGCAGGTTCTCCAGACACACGGGGCGCAGTGTGTTCAGATATCTGACTTTCAACAGACTCATTCATCTGTGAATCAGAGCTCTCATTCCCTACATCATCTTCTGTCTCATGATCAGACTCAATTTCCTCTGGTTTCCTCTCAATGGAAATTCCATTGCTGCTAGTTTCAGCATCTTTGGACTCCGTTTTATTATCCTGATAGAGATCTGTGTGTTTTGGATCATCAGGATACGACTGACCATCTTCTCTGTTCTCTCCTGAACGTGGCAGATCAACATCTTGTGTCTCATAAACGGCCAAACCATCTTCTTCCTGTCCTAGTCCGTCTCTTTCACTTTCCTCAGAAGCTTTTGTCTGGTTCTCTCCTATGTGATGGTTTTCACTTCCTCTTTGGATTTGACTTCCATCTTCAGAGATATTCTCCCCTCTGTCTGTCACAGATTCGTCATCAGCAGCTTGAGGACAAAGCTTATTTAAACATTTAAGGCCCTCCTCTTCCTCTTTGTCCCTCCTGTCCCCCTTAACGTATATCACCTGCTGCATTTCCTCATACTTCCTTTTCTCTTCATCCCCCTCCTCGCCTTTCTCCTGCTTTCCTTCTTCTTTGAACTCCTTTAATTCCTCCTCATTCTTCTCTTCTTTTGCATCCTGCTTCTGTTTCTCTTTCGCCACCTCTTGTCTTGTCTCTTCCTCCTTTAACTCCCCCACCTCCTCCTGCTTCTTCTCCCCCTTTAACTCTTCTGGTTCTTGCTTCTTTTGCCCCTCCTCCTTTAACACCTCCACTTCCTCCTTTTTCTCCCTCTCCTCTATTTCCTTTTTCTTTTCCTCTCTATTTATTTCCTCCACCTCCTTTAACTCCTCTTGTTTCCCTTCTTCCTCAAGCTTACTCTCCTCTTTTACCTCTTCTGGCTCTTCTCTTTTCTCCTCTTCCTGTATCTCCCTCTCACTGTCCTGTTTCCTCTCCTCGTTTGCCTCCTCCACCTCCTCTTTTTTCTCTACCTCTTTCGATCCCTCCACATCCTCCTGTTTCTTCTCACCCTTTAACTCAACTTTCTCCTGATTTTCCTCCTCCTCCATTAACTTTACCTCATCTATTTCCTTCTGTTCATCCTTCAATTCCTCCTGTCTCTTCTCCAGCTTTAACTCCTCCATCGCTTCCTGCTTCCTTCCTCCTTGTAGTTCCTTCACTTCCTGCTGCTTTTCTTTTTCCACCTCCTCAATTTCCTCATTTCTTTTCTCTTCTTCTTTTAACTCCTCTGACTCCTCGTTTCTTTTCTTTTCATCCTTCAACTCCTTCACCTCCTCTCTTTTCTCTTCATCCTTTAACTCTTCCACCACCTCCTCTCTTTTCTCTTCTTCCTTAAACTCCTCCACCACCTCCTCTCTTTTCTCCTCATCCTCAAACTCCTCCACCTCCTCATCTCTTCTTTCTTCATCCTTAAATTCCTCTACCTCCTCCTCTCTTTTCTCTTCAATCTTCAACTCCTCCACACCCTCCTCTCTTTTGTCTTCATCCTTAAAGTCCTCAACCTCCTCATCTCTTCTTTCTTGATCCTTTAATTCCTCCTCCACCACCTCTCTTTTCTTTTCATCCTTCAACTCCTCCACCTCGCCCTCTCTTTTGTCTTCATGCTTTAACTCTTTCACTTCCACTTCTCTTTTCTGTTCATCCTTCAACTCTTCCACCACCTCCTCTCTTGTCTCATCTTCCTTTAACTCCTCCACTTTCTCATTTCTTTTTTCTTCATCCTTTGAGTCCTCCACCTCCTCCTCTCTTTTCTTTTCATCCTTCAACTCCTCCACCCCCTCCACCTCCTCCTGTCTTTTGTCTTCGTCCTTTAACTCTTTCACTTCCTCTTCTCTTTTCTCTTCTTCCTTTAACCCCTCCACCTCCTCGTCTCTTTTCTCTTTATCCTTTAACTCCTCCACCTCATCTCTTCTTTCTTCATCCTTTAACTCCT